AAATAAATCAGAGAAAATAAAATAATTAGAATTATCAATAGGAAAAGTGTTTTTCTTTGCATCATAACATTAAAATGGAGGTGACAACAGTTACATATTAATTTATATTGCTATAGGATTCTAGTGCCTTCATCATCAAGACAATTGACATCCAATCATTATCTCTGACAAATGTTGGTGCCTAATTAACCTGTGTTGTTTAACTTAATGGCCAAAAAGAGATGTAGGGTGTTTTCTAGGCTATGTAAGTATATGATTAAGAAGTATAGAGAGAATGTAAGTTAAACAACTAACTTTTCTACCTAAAACACGTATCATCCCCGGATATACCACCTCAGGGTTTTCTTTCACAGAATAAGGACAATAACTTCAAAAAGAAAATATATACAATATAACATCATGAAAATGGGAATCATGACATAGTATTATTCTCATTTTCCCATTTGCTAACTTTGTAAACATGCAGAACGAATCACCTCATACCATTGACCCTTGGTCTCCTCATCTTTGAAGAGGTGAATAAAGACACTGGTCTTACCACTCTTCCATAATCAGAATGTTCCTAAAAGCAGTTTATAAATCACAATGCAAATATATTGTTTGGATTTCTATGTCTATGCTGTGTAATTTATTTCTTGTCTTTATTTACTTTTACTCAAATGTTCTTCTCTGCATATATCTCTAATGCATACATTCTCATAGCTATTTAAACTGTCAATAAGGTCGCTATTTACATCTATTTATGTTACAGCTTGGAAATTTATATAAATGGTTGTCATTTTTCTTACATAGTACAGTGTGCTTCTCAATTTAATTTTCAAAAGATGTCACATTTTCAGCAAAGCTCAGCAAGAAATCTTTTCATCTACCATGGATGCCTTACCATAAATAACATCTAGTTCTTTACTATCTCATAAAAACTTTATTACTATATTTTTACTGAAGGGAAATCATGGAAATCAAAATATATTCATAAAAAGTTTAAGAAAATTAACCATAAATGGAACTGCCACTGCAAACTGTCTGCTTATAATGTTCTTAATCTATGAGGTTCTTTCATTTAACTACTATTTTGTTATGTCACTCTACAAGCATAATTTGCTACTAACATTTGTTAATGACATTTCAAGTTTTTCAATTTTCTTTTTGTATTAGCTCATAACCACACTATATCTCCATCTTGGCTACCCATTAAGCTAAAATATACAAACTACCTGATTTATTCAATTTTCACTTAATATGAACATAATGTTACAAATTCCACAAACTTTTTGATGGTTAAACTCTTTCTATTAATGTCTGCTCCCTAAAGATGACAAGCTGAGACAGAATGCTCTAATTTCTTTATGTTTGGGCAGATGAATAGAGAAAACATGAGTAGTCATTGAGCTTACATTTAGAACCTGCTTGAAATTAATAAGTTATTTAAGTGCTCTACATAGAAGAGGAACAATAAATTTCTGAGAGTAAAAGTACAAGATGTCATTTGAGCTGACCCAAAATATAAACAAAACCCATCCCCACTCCCCTAAAAAACCCTAATCTTCACATCACACTGAAGTATTTTAGAAATAAAGAAAAAAACTATCATAAAAGGGAAGATATTGTATTATGTGGTATTATTTTGAAAAGAGTTCATTGGTATTTACAAAACAATGAGTAGTGTTTTTTTGATTCCTGTCCTGTTACACAAAATCATTATGTACTGCTTCTTTCTTCTAAACTTCTTAATTTTTCCTCTTTTGTATCACTTAATCTATGCAGTGGGGAAAAGTAAAAATGCTACTGACGGGTACAGAAAAGCTGTCTTTCTTTTTATTTACCACTTACCTCAGGCCACCTGAAGCAACATAATCTCAATGCTGAAACAGAAATGATCAACCTAAATAATACACATAACATCTTATCATAACTGAATGGAAATTTAATGATAATGAATAACCCCCTGTATGTGTGGAATTTTTATGCTTGATTATATGTAGGATCCTTCTGGTTCCATCCAGAAATCATGTGAACAGGTGTCTATTTCTTCCCTTTTTTTTAGTAAAGAAATACTCTTAACGGTGTTGTGACATGCTCAACATCAGTCAGGGTCAGATCTAACATCAACAGTGTGGGTCCTGTCTTACCTCATTTACCTACACTGCCTCAATAATCTTTCATTACTGACATATTTCAATAAAACAGATATACATGTCTAACAAAGTATTCCTTTGTTGTCTTTAATGCAGATATCAAAATTTAGGTTTCCACAGTTAACGAAATATCATTTCATCAGTATACACTGACTACCATTGATTAATGGAAGCTACATAACATGTAGATATATCCATGACAGGAGAGAAATAGAATCTTCTTAATATTAAACACTTGTAACACTTGATTCTAACCAAAATCAATTGTGAATTTTAAGACTGAAATGAATTTATCCACTCAAAATGACCCCAATATTTACTGAACACCTGCAATGCTCTAGAATATGTCATGGACATTATGGACATAACAGTAAACAATAAACCCTTTGCCTATCCCTTGCATCCAGCATATGGGATTAATACAAGAGTTATTAAACACCTAAATTCAGTTGCTATAGGAATATAATTTAGTTAAGGGTGAGATCAAGAAGTCTTTCTTCAAGCAAGTTAAGCAGAAGTACAAAGAAAAAAAACAGAAAGAAGAATGAATAAAAGATAAAAGGAGAAGGAAGGGGAGGGAGGAGAAGGAAAAATAAGAAGATAAAAGAGGAGAAGGGGAGGAGGGAAAGGAAGCAGAGGAGAGGAGAGACCAGGAGAGATGAGTTTCTTCTCAGAACTTAACCCACAAGTTTTTCAGTATGCTATCATGCTTTGGGGCATGACTATGTGTGATTCAAAAGACTGTCACTGTTAACATCCAAAGTTATGTTCACCATTTTACACTAAAAGCATTTGAAAGAGGGAGAGAGATTATAAAATCAGGTGTTCCCAAAAGCTGTCTGCTGGAAGCAAAAGTATCCCTAGAGTAAAGCATGGTAGAATAAATCTAGTTATGCATCTAGTTTCTAGCTCATGCTTTGTATTAAAAGGGGCCCCAGTGACCTGAAAGAATAATTGCCCCTCCCAAAATGCCTATTTCCTATCCTACTGGTAGGGGAGAAAGGGAGTAGCTGGCAACCACTCTTTGAGTCAAATCCCATAAATAATCTGGCCCATTTCTTCTGTGCCATGTTGCAAAAATTAATGTACACCTGGGAAAGTGTAGTGTACTAAAAATTTAAAAGGAAGCATGGCAGGTTAATGCAAAATGGGAAAAACAAATCCAGAAACTGTATTAGAAAAGTCAAACATTTACCAGTGCCACTTCTACTATAAATGCACAGCAACCACCATATTTGGAAATAATTTGATCATGCTTTCTGAAGAGGGCTGGAGAAAGGGGACATTTTACAATTCAGATTCTGATGAGCACTGGGTTGTCATATACATGGTAGAATAAATGAAATGAGATTGTATAGGAAGGAGCATAGAAAGAAGATCAAAAAAAGAACAGATGAAGTAAACAGCACGGGAAAGAAGCCAGAAGCATATTGCTAAACGGACTATAGAAATGGTAGTCTGTAATCAGGGGAGTGTCTCACGCAGAGCGGATCTGGAAGGTGCAATTAGGCAAACTCAAAGCAGCTAGCTGTGCTCCAAGGAGTGTTGAGAGCCCTGACTGGCAAAGGCAACTAAACCTTTCAAGAAGGCCAAGAGAATAATGAGAATCGGGGCGGGGGCAAGGACTACTTTTTGCTAGTGTTTCTCAATTTAAAAATGTCTGCTTCCGAGTCACTTTAGAGGGCAGAGGTACAGAAGCAGAGTAAAAAGCATCCATACTTGGAATCCATTCTAGACCTGCAATCTCCTGAGACACATCTAATGATATTGATAAATGCCCTATATAAGTTTTATAAACAATTAAGTTTAATAACCAATAACAGAATTTGGTTCTTCAAAGTCTTTTGAGACTGCCCAAGGCTAGCACTTGGTCACAATTCCAGAAGGGAACCGTCTGCATTAAATATAATAGACCTCTAGTTATAGAGATCATTTCTGTATTGGTGATGGGAATCACACTAGGATTGCTCTATGTTACACCCCTGAAGTCAGATCATGTCCTCTAGCTACAGTAATATTTCTAACACTGGGACTGTACTTTGGAGGCTATGTCAGTTTTTGATATTAAGGAGGGTACAGACATTGAGACTGAGCCGCCACTAAACTTGTCTTCATTTCAGCAGCTTCCAGAGCCCAGAACAGAGACCAAACAAGAACTGCTTGGGAAAGAAAAGGACAAAAAAGCAAAAACAAAACAAAACAAAACAAAAAAAATCAGTCATTAAGTCCCTAACCTATGGGCAAAATTTTGTGTCTTCACTGAATTTGTATTTTCCATCAGATACACTAAATAAAACCATGCTCAAAACTAGAAGTGTGGGCAGAAACTGCTAGTTACATAGGGCTGAATCTGCATCAAGATTAGTATAAAAGCTTAATTGGAACCACTGTTACTTTCTGCCCTTGATTCTTTCACACCTTCCCTCCTCTCTTCTGTGAATTTAGTTCCTAATTGTAATGCTTCAGTCCAAAGAAAGCCTGATACCAGGCATTTCCGCAGAGAGACATAAAACTCTAACCCCGGCATCTGTATCTACAGCACAAACAGCTTCTGTCTGAATGGGTGGAGTCAGAACTCTTGCAGAGTCCTGAAAAATGCTCTTGCATCCACACACCCCTCTGACACATTCACAGTAATAAACCCCATGGCCAGATTAAATAAAGGAGCCTTTCATGCTAAGCAAAACAAGTGAAGGTCACTTCCAAAGTCCCAAGTTCCTTCACTTGACATCCTTGTGATGTGCTATCTCCTGAAGAACAGAAAGGCTGCTCGAGCTGTGGCCCCGTGCCCACCCACCACTGGGGAAGCAGCGTGGAAGGCCCCTCCCGATCTCGCTGAGTCACCTCTCCCCTCTGTCTCCACAGCTCCAATGGAAAATCCGTCACCTGGGCTCAGAACGAGAAGAGCAGCCGGGGGCAGCACCTGTGGCAGCGGTTGTCGGTCCACATCAACAAGAAGGAGAACCTCAACCAGACGGCGGTCATCAAGCCCTTCCCTAAGAGCACGGAGAGCCGCGGGCTGGGCGCCGGCGCGGGCGGCGTGGCCCCAGGGGCGACAGGGCCGACAGGGGGCGCAGGGGCCGCAAGCTGCGCAGGCGCGGGTCCCGGCGGCCCCGAGCCCCCCGACGCCGGCGCCAAGGCCCTGTACGACGTGGCGGAAGGCGAGGAGCCCTTCGCGGCGGCGTCTGTGCGGCCGCGCTCGCCGTCGCCCATCAGCACGCTGAGCCAGCGCGCGGGCTCGGGCGGCCGCACGGACGACGACGTACCGTCGCTGCACTCGGAGCCCGCGGCGCGCAGCAGCTCCTCGCAGGGCTCGCTCATGGAGCAGATCAGCAGCGTGGTGACTCGCTTCACGGCCAACATCAGCGAGCTCAACTCCATGATGCTGTCCACGGCGGCCCCGGGCCCCGGCGTGGGCGCCCCGCTCTGCTCGACGTACCTGATCCCCAAAGAGATCCAGCTGCCCACGACCATGACGACGTTCGCCGAAATCCAGCCTCTGCCGGCCATCGAGGTCACGGGCGGCGCGCAGGCCGCGGCCGGGGCCCCGTCGGCAGGGGGCGCTGCCCAAGAGACGCCCGCGGCCGGCGCGGAGGCCGCAGCCGGCAAGCCGGACCTGGAGGAGCTGGTGGCCCTCACTCCGCCGTCCCCCTTCAGAGACTCGGTGGACTCGGGCAGCACAACCCCCACCTCGCCAGTGTCCGAGTCGGCCCTCTGTATCCCGTCGTCTCCTAAATATGACACTCTCATCATAAGAGATTACACTCAGAGCTCCTCGTCCTTGTGAAAGTCCCTGGAATCCACGCTGGGGCCCGCGTGCTCACACGGACGCCCTTGGCGACACCAGTCACCCAGCTGGCGGGCTGAGCAGAAGACGCCAAGTACACGGGGCACGGAAAGGAGATGAACAGTGCACTCTCAACCGACGAAGACACCGACTACAGTTCTTCTGGCAGATTTTCTTCTAGTGGCCTTAGAAAACATGGGCTTTTAAGAAACACTGCTTATATTTTTGAGGGCTGACAAAAGAGTCTGTTCACTTTTGTACCGAGTGCTTTGCTCTAGGAAAGCGGAAAGTGTGAAACAGCGTCATGGTGAAAACAGAGTTATTAACAACTGTAAAAAGTTTTGTTTACTTGCATTCTTTTCCCAGAAGAGTCTGATTCACAAAACATGAATGTACGTTTTCTAACAAACTGACAATCTGGGACCAAATCATCAACTTTTCTCTTTTTTCTATTTTATTTTATTTTTTCCTTCAAAGACCTTGGGAAGCAGTAACCTGGGGCCCAGTATTGACTGAGGCATAGCTGTGGGTGTTACCATGCTAACGCGTGACTTGACCGTGAATGCCGAGCTCATGTACCTAGGGCTTCTACCAGAGACTTTACAGTTTGGTTGTGAAATATTCTTCCAAAAGCCTGCATCCAGGATTCCACCTAGTTATTTCAGATTCACCTCCATTAACCAGGAAAACCAGTGGAAGATTTCTTGACTATTTCACCATGTTGCCAAATCAATAATGGAGTAGCAAAAAATATTTTCTGGAATACTGTTTTGTAATTCCCTCACTGGGGTGCGCTGTGTAGCTGGAAATTCTCTTTCTAGTAATTTTTGCGCTCCAGCCTGGCTATCTCATAATACACATGCACTCCTTATAAATGCCGATCCTTTAGTGTTGCAGACAAAACATTGAAATATACATTTGGGCTTCTTCATTCTTTTCTTTTGAGAATCTGATGCACTAAGAGCTCCTCTGTTACTCTGAGTCCCATCACTGGAAGAGTGGTTCATAGACCCAATGAAGACATTGGAGAGACTGTTGTTGAAAAAATTAACACAGTCTTTATACACTGGAAATTCAAACTGTGTCAAGTTGGCATAGCAGAGATTTTGCTGTGCCAACGACCAGTGATTTTTAACTTTTCTTGGCTGCTGAAATAAGGCAGCTATGAACTATGACAAATGTAGATTTTTTCAAAGCAATACAGAATACTAAAACAGAGGAACCTTAATATCAAGTACAGTCTTTCTTAGCCATTCCAAAAAGAGGCAAAGCAATTATTAATATTTTCTTTTTTTAAAGTAATTACTAATATTATGTTGTGCACTTCATACTGTCACTTTTTAAATACTGCAGAAAAGAGATTTAGAGTTGACAAAAAAAAAAAATATGTGCTTTGATACATACAGGTAGAAATCATAGCTCAAGACCTGAATCCACTGTCACCTCTTTATTCGCCCCCTTGCAGCTATCCTCAGGTACCAAGTATTTTTGATTTTTAAATAAAGCTAGTAATAAAAAGGAGGTGTCCTATAAATTTAAAGTTCAGTTGACCCGCCTTATACTAAAGATAGCCTTATTAAAAAGATTTGCTGTGAAGCAAAAGTATATTTTTTGGCAGAGAGATAAATAGAATTTTTTTCTTTTAGTTCATGATTCTTATTTTAATACTTTTTATTTCACATCTTTTTTTTAAAAAATTGAGAAGTGGAAATTTGTTGGTACAGTTTATCATTCTTCACTTTTTAAAGGAATAAATATATTGCTTGCTGAAATTCTGATTCTTATATCTATCTTAGTTGATATTTTAAATCATCTTTCCCAATGTAAAATATTAAAAACATTTATTAAAATATTTTATTTAAATATTAATTTAAAAGTAATTTAAGTTTCTGTGCCAAAGTTGAAAATAACATCATCAGCACATCCTTTCCCCAAATATTAATGCATTTTTATGAGATTCTTGAATCAAATAAAATCTAGCTGACTTTCATGTCTTCATTGAAACAAGTGTCTGCCTCTACAAGAAAAACACATGTAAATATTTTGAAGTATTAATACTGCTGGATCATCATTGAAAAAGGTGGCATTCACCTAGAGATTTCTATCTTGATTTCTTAAGTATTGATACATTTCTAAATGTGCTCTACTGTCTGTTTTAAAATTTGTTTCATAAAATACTTAGGTTGATTTCTATTTTATTCTGAAGAACAGTAAGTTTCCTTCCGTTGACCAATAGAACATTTTAAAATTTTACTCCATAATCAAATTTCTTTTCTAGTTTTCAGTGACATATTTTTTAAAACCACCTTATTATGAGAAACTGCATTAAAAATTAAAATTTAGTGCAAATAAATTTCCATCTGATAACTCTACATGATAATTAACTGTAATAAAAAATTTATCAAATTAGAAAAGAACAAGATGTATTTTTTCTATATTTATATAATCTTTACCACTTAATTGAACACATTGTATATTGGACATGACATAATAATACATCCTTGATACATTTTATTTTGGAATGATGCTAACTCTGTCTCTTGCCAATTCTAATACCAGGTTCCAAGTAATAACTCTATAATACAAAGAAAACTGAATATCTATTCTAGGGCTAGGCTATGAACTTCACAACTTATTTGGGTACCTATTGTCACTGAGTTTCCCTGAAAATAATCTGTTCCTGGTGCCCAGTGATAATTCAGTTGGGACCTGAATGACTAAAAGGAAGGGGAAAGTGTAGGGAAATGCTAAGAATCAGCAAGATGACTAAAAGGAAAGAGTTTGACCCTTGGAAGAAAAAGAGACTTGATTTCATCAAGTTTTACTGGCCAAGAAGTCCACTCATCTTTCTATTTTGGGAGAGATGTGAGGGCATTCTGAGAAGACTATGCATCTACTGGGAAGAACCATATTTTGGGGTTAGGAATGGGGAGCAGAAAGGCTAAATGAAGAGGAAAATCATAACAAATTTGACTGAAGCAGAGAAAAAAGCAAATTTCCAAATGTGCTGATCCTTGAAAATAATAGTCTTTCCCAAACTATTGAAGTTACCAGCAAGTAATCAGGAAGACCAGGAGATATTTTTTGACTACAAATTAATTGTATAATGGCTCTGTTGAAGTTCTGTGGCTTCCAAACCAGGAATTAAACATTATTTTTAAGAAAAAAATAAAAATATTTCCTATGCTAGTCTCTCAGCAAAATGTACATGTTTTGGAGACTTCCAAGTTATTATATGAGTTCACATTTAGTAACAGCTTATTAATAACCCTCAAGCTGTCAAAATTGCTATAGTTACCATTTACAATTTTATACTGTGAAAAAAAAATACAGATCAGTGAAAGCATAAAGATAAATCAGAGTTTCCTTTGAAGAGGGTCTGAGGCCTGGGAGATTCTCTACTGTTTATTGAAAAATGAGGCATGTATAAAATAGTTGGCTAAATTTCACTGATCTTCTCAATGTGAACAAATATACTATGTATATTGTGTGTATTTCTAGAATTCAATGGCAGCTGCTGGTGGTGTTGTAATTAGAAATCTATATAGAATATAGATGTTTTAGAAGGATGGTGCCAATTCCAAAAGATTTGTGTGGGCTACAAGTGCTTGTACTTACTTTTTTCTGCACTTACAACTGATTTGGTTTTAAAATTGTGTGCGCGTATCTGTTCCTTTTCTGTTGTTGCAGCTTGTACTATTAAAATAATAGAGAATGTTAAATTATTTTGATGTGAATTGCAAATGATTTTCATAAACTATAACATTTTTATCAGTATTGTTTTGCTTTACTTGTATAAATGTGTTTTATTTTAGCATTTTAATATATACTTGCCTGTTTCTCAGTTGTCTAAATTATGTTTTAGGTGGTGTTTGTGAAGTCAGTTACTTTTTGAAAAAATATTAAAAAAAGAAACCATGGTATGACTTAAGATTATTCCCCTTAATGTTTAGAATATTGTCGTAATTTTGTTTTCTACGATGAAGGCTTATGATATTAATTAAATTCTGAATGACATACACAATCAAGTTAATGGGTTACAAAGTAGACATTGGATAGTAGATTATAATGAAAATATAAATCAACCACATATCAACCAGAGATGCTGTTCCCAAAGACATATAAAAACAACTTTTAAGATGCAAATAAATACTTTTAAAAAATGAATGTAGGGAATATACTTTTTGTTTCTAGGCATAAAAATTGTAGATATACTTTCCTTTATGGATATAGGCATCACACAGATAAATTATGCCGCCTGTGTGTGTGTGTCTGTCTCTAATGTGTATAGAAACATGCACATATATTTATAGATACACTTTACTTTTGAGTCCATCGACATGAGTGTTTGTGTGTCTGTTTATATGTATGTGTATAAGCATTTCTGTATAATTTCTCTGAGAAATAATTATTACCAGTCACTTTTTTACTATGATACTAAAACAAATTAACATTTCCTGAATACAGATTAGTCATAACCTAAAAGCAGACTAGAAGGCTACTGTTTTATATATAAAAAAGAAAAACAATACAAATTTTAAAGTATATCTTCTTTGTGTCTACTGGCATATAGAGATTATGCATACATAACACATAAACATCTATGTAGATACATATATACATGGGCTATTATATAAATAACATTGATCTTAAAATGTAAAACATTTTTTTCTCACACTCTGCTCTTTAATGTCTTCTAAAATAGTCCAAATGAGAATGTAAAATTGAGTTTAAAATGAGATGCTTGTAAAAATGACACAGATAATTTTGTCTCAAAATTAAGAATATTTTAAATCCCTGTCTTTCTTGCTTTTCTCTTACTGAGATAAAATACTCAACACTCACAGGTTAAGGGAGGAAAAGTTTATTTAGCTCACACTTTGTAGAAGTCTTAGTCCATTAATGGTTGGCTCTAAGGTAGGGTGGCATGGCAGGCAGGCATTGCAGAGAAGAGATGGTGCATGATGAATGAAAGGTAGCAAAGAAAACAAGGGACAACCACAGCACTTTCTATCCCTTATATCTTATCTGAGCTACTTAGAGGGGATAGCATTCCCATCCTTAGTCTTAGTACCCTTGATCCTAGCACTGCACCATGGATCAATCCCAAGGTCACACATGTTAGATCCAGCCACCTCTGAAAAATTCCCACCTATGACTGCATGAAGCTTTGGAGGGACATCTAGGTACAAGCCTTGCCAGGGCCCAAAAAATCTTTCAAGGCATTCAAATCCAGCTGATGCAATAAAAGTAAATTTGATAGGGCAATAAAAGTATCTATTGCCCTATCACCAACTGACCTTATATAAATCACCTGAGTTTCCCATAGCTCACATCCTCCTTCTTTAAATACAAGGATAAGTAACTCAAACTAAAATGTTTGTTTCTATTATTTTCAACATTCCTAATACATGATAAATGCTTGCCCACATGACAGTCATCTACAGAAAAATCTAGAACTTTGCTCTATTCATGTTAGGTATTTCTTAAGCCATTAACTATCAGAAAAACTTTCACAATTAACTATCTGAAAAACCATGAAATGTATTCTTTCAGGTAACATCCACATGACCTTAACTTTTCCCATCAGGATCTGTCTCCTAATAGCATATTTAGCTATGAACTCATGGCTAAATTAGTTTACTGATGAACGTAGCACACTCATCACTTTCCAAAAGTTCTATCTCTGAACACATGACATTTTTGAGGTAATTGTAGATCTAAACTATAACAAGAACTATAGTATACTCTAGGATTATAAAAGTTCACTATTGTAAAGTATAATAATAGTTATACCATTAGCATATTAAAGACATAATATGAACTGTGTAAAAGATACAATAAGAACATTAGAAAAAATTATACCAATTACTAACAATTTTTTAAACCAATAAGTAAAAATAGAAGAAAAATTTCTTCAGGTAGAAAGAGAAAACCTATCAGAAACCTGTAGCAAAGATTATACTAATAACAAAACATGAGAAGAATTCCCATTAAATGATGAGCAGAGGAGGTATGCCATGTTGTATACATTATTCCTAAAATGAGTAAGACATTTTGAAATTTAAATAGTGTCACTTTTGTGATATTGCAACAATGTCTTTATTTGGCACAAATGTTTATACTTAGACTGTTCTAATCCAACCAGAGCATAAGACCACTTTAGTGTACAGAAATTCAGTATAATAACTATCCTGCTAGATACAACTTAAACTCAAAACAGTAAAGTAGGTAAAATACTTCAGAGAAACAAATCTACCTGCAGGTTAATCTACCTATAAAATCTTAGGCGTTCTAGAAATAATGTTAAATTTGATGATATGAAAAAACAAACAAGTAGTTGTTTACCATGTGACTGGTTAAGAAATTTCTTGTCACTAATAACATTATAAAATCTGCTAGATTAGTGAGAAAGTTTAAAATATAAATATAACAATGTTTTAAATTGTGAAATACAAGTAAATCATGCCCTTAATTAGAAAAAAAAACACAGCACAGGTAAGTATTGGTGAAGGTAATATTTTCAAGTACTTTCCAAAGAGTGTTCCAAAAAACAAAATTTTAATAGACTATTAGGAGCTGATAAAAAAAGATTAAAACATCCTGGCACTAGGAATAGCACATCTGCAGATACAAAAAATACAGAGTGTTCAGAAATTACTACTAGCTTAATTTGACTAAAGCTGCTTGGGAAGGTTAGTGGGATAACATACGTGTACTGCTTAGCACAGAACCTGGCCCATGAGAGTGTTCTTCCAATGCTCACTCTCTAGAAGGAACGATAGAGTAATGTTCGATGTTGAGATTTAATGTTTAGATTTTTTCAGTGAGGGAAACCTCCTTTTCTAGCTCTTCTTTTTTTTGTATAAACTAAAACAGTTGTTTTTTTTTAAAACAATGTTTCCATTTATTTCAGTTATTGTAAGTCCTCTATGCAGTTAAGAAAAGAATATTAACATTAAGGGAAATACAAGCAACCACTTGAATTTCTTTCCTTTCTATTGTTATGAGAGCATTAAAAATATAATGATATATCTTCTTAAAATATTTGAATGTACAGTACAGTATCACTAAAGTTAGCACAATATTGTACAGGAGATCTCAAGAACTTGCTTATCGGGAGCACTGAGACTTTATATCCATTGAATAGCAACTCCTCACTTCTCCCTAATATTTGTACCAAGCAATTATCATTCTAATCTATGTTTCTGAGTTTATATACTTTATATAAGATCATATAGTATTCATCTTCCTCTGATTATTCTATTTAATTTAGCATAATATCCTCAGTTATATATCCTTTCTTTTAATAGCATCCCTCCATTATAATATCAATTTTGATATTCTGATGTATTATATCATATTATTTATTCATCAATTCATTGATGCACATTTTGGTCACTTCCACATCTTGACTACTGTAAATAATTTTAAAGGTGAATATTTAAATCCATGCTGCTAAATCACAGAAAGGAAGAAGATTTCCATGAATACCAAGTGAGATTGTATGTTCATAGTTTATTCAATGTGCTAAACACTACCAGGCATTGAATTACTCGACTAATTTTCAGAATATTAACTTAACATGTCTAGTTCAATTGAGGGATAAAAAACAAGGGCTATAAAAATAAACTATTTGATTTTGAACTCCAAATATACTTCCTAATATCATGAAAGTAGGTTGTTTTTTCCAGCAATATCTAGTGTCACTTTAACTTATCTGTAAATTACATTCAATGTCAAACATGAAACAAGTTTAAATAGGATTTTATCATCCAAACACAGTTTTCTTTCAAATAAAATTTAAGGAAATTTTAAAAAGCCTTTTGATAAATAGAAGAGAATGATAATTTTCCATTATGTATGATTGTTTTAGATAAAACACATTTAATGAATGTCTGTTGTTTGTCAGGAAATAGTTCTAGGTTTCAGGGGTTCTGCAACCAATGAAAGAAATAAAAAATCATTATTTCCCTGGACTTTATATTTTATTTGTGTATTTGTGTGTGTTTCACGAAGATACAAAGAAAAGATAAATTAGCATATATTTTAGAAAATAACTGCTATAGGAAAAATAAACAGGTAAAGTAAACATAAATTCAAAAAAGGAGAATGACTTTAGATAGGCACATACGAAAAATTTTACTTCTAGGCACTATCTGAGCAAATATTTGAAGGAGGTACAAAAAAAGTCATTAAAATATTTGGGAAAAGAATATAAATCGGGGTCAATTATAAAGGAGCAGCATGTACCATGAGGTGAAAAGAAAAAGGAGGAAGTGGAGAAGGCTGAAGAGGAGGCAGAGGAAAAGAAGGGGGAGAAAGAGAACGAATTTCACAATCACTCTCCTTCTGTTCAAATCTGTTAAAATGCTTTGAATGGAACTGTACTTGAAATGTGTCACACACTGTTACTAGGGTTTGTTCCACATTGCCAGTTCTCATATAAAGATCTCTACCTTTCTGCTGAATGGCAGTCAGCTGCAACATTCATCATATTTGTTGATCACAGCTCATATTAGAGAAACAGTGAGATCAAGAACTGGGCAAATGGTGAAGAAGTGACTCTGGGACATATTCTGAGGGAGCATAAATAAAAACAAGTGGTTGGATGAAGTGAGTGAGATGGGAAAGGTCTAGGATGCCACCTACATGTCTGGTGTTGGACAAAAATATCAATCACTGAGTTAGGGAGGAATACTGGAGATCCAGCCTGAGAGAAGCTCTGTTTTGGACAAACCAAGTTGAAATGACTTAAAATGCTGTATAGTCAATAT